CATTTAGAATTGAAGGGCAGATAAAGTGCTCCCCAGATAAGGTCAAGTTCAAGGAATTCATCATCACCAAGCCCTTATTATATGAAATGTTTAAGGGACTTATTTAAGAAAAAAAAGGAAGATCAAAACTATGAACATTACAATGACAACAAACTCACAACTATCAGCAGATGAACCTAAAAAACAAAAACTAAGCAAACAGCTAAAACAGGAACGGAATCACCGAAATGGAGATCACATGGAGGGTTATCAGCAGGGAGAGGGAGAATGTGGGGAAAAGGTACAGGGAATAAGAAGCACAATAGGTAGGAAGAAAATAGACAGTGGGAGGTTAAGAATAGTATAGAAAATGGAAAAGCCCAAGAACTTATATGTACAACCCCTGGACATGAACCAAGGATGGGGGAATGCTGGAGTGTGTGTGGGAGGAGGGGGAGAAAAGGGAGAAAAAAAATTGGATCAACAATGTAATAGCATAATCAATAAAACATACTTTAAAAAAGCTCAAAAACTAGAAAAGCTGTGGAGGAGAAAAGTATAAATTGTAAACGTGAGGATTTTCTTAATACTGTCTTTACAGATGGAAATGATATACATCCCAATATTACCTAAGTGCAACCAGAGAAAGAAGTTATTAAATAATAATCGGGTTTATAATCTGATCATATTAACCATAGACTTTGAAGGGTTGACTAATTTTATAGTTTACATAGTCAATGAAAATGTTTATAAGAGTAAGTATTCTGATACTATTAAATGCTGTTAAATTCACAACAAATATATTTAAATTCCATATTAGACAACTGGAAGAAAACAACAAGTTTTAGGGTAAATACAGCATGTTGCTTAATAAAATAATAATGATGTTCAATAGTAAATATACAAACAACATAAGGGCTAAGAATATACAAAATGTTCTGAAAACCGAAGTCCATGTCATCCCTACCGCATATAAAGGGCCTCTCCATTATATTCCAAAATGAGACTTTAGTTATTTTTGTACTAAACAACTTCTTGTCACTTGCATCCTGTTTGATCATATCTCAGTCACAGTGGAAAACAAACACTAGGGTAATGAGATAAATGAAGCAGAAAGAGGAGTTATACCTTTAACAAACTTCTGCCTGTCCCTCATGTTCTGTTCTTTTCTCCAAAATCTTAACTGTGACCTGATCACCTGCTGGACCCTTTCTTATACCCTCCTTCCCTGGTATTGACCTCTTTATTCTTCATCCCTGATTAAACTCCCCTCCTTGCACAGCTTTGTGTCTCTGGACTCTCCCCTCTCCCTTCCATTCTGAATCCATCCTTTGTATAATCAGGATGACCAGTTATCCCTGCTTTCTTAATAGATACAAATAATTACCACCCCAGATACACTGGATAGGGCTGGAAACAGCCAAAATCACAGTCACATTAGAAGCCTTGGATTGTGAAAGACCTGAGAGTCAGACACAGAAAGACCCTGGGCCCCTTAACCGCACACCACAAAGACATCACTGATGGACACCTGCCACCTACAAGCACGATGACTGCACAATGAGTGAACAATAATACATCTTAATTTGCTTTATTCTTTTTTCCTTTGAAAAATGATTTTCTGCCTATTCCTGCCTTCCTAAATCAAATTATCTTTAAAACACCTGAGAGTCAAGGGGAAAAACAGTTTAGTCCCTTACAACACTGCATTTGTCTGGCTTTCACCATGACCCACAGTAAAACATACATTTACATCACATCCCAATGCACACACAATATCTGTATCTATATCTATAACTATAAAGTAATATTCATCATCATTAAGAGTAGTGTACTTTAATATTCTCTACTAAATTCTATCCTTTTAAAAAAATCTGGGTCATGTAATGTTGAACTAAAGAAGTCCGACAGATAGTGCATGCTAAATGATTCCATTTATAGGAAGGTCTAGAATAGCTGAGGTTAATCTACAATGATAGTGGTCAAAAGAATGAGAATATCAGCTTGGAAGGGGTTTCAGGGCAGTCTTCTAAGATGCTGGAAATGTTTTATATATTGAGATCTGAGTGGTGGTTATGTAGGTGCACAAATGTGAAATCCATCAAGCTGTATAATTAGTATTATACTTGAGCATTTTACTCTGTTAGTTCTATTTCAATAAAGAAAGAATAAAAAATTGAAAAGTAAGAAATGGTGGTTGAAATCAATTAAATTGATTTTACCAACTAAAACAGCTTCAGCTAGCATGATGGTTACTCAAAATTTGAAAACAGCTCCAAATATGTTATGCATATAAATTTTTAAAAGAATATATACACACATATACATATATACATTCACATGTGTGTGTGTATTCGTGTCAGGCTTTGTATCAGACTTCTTTAGCTCAACATTATGTGAGCCAGATTTTTTTTAAAAATGTGTACGTGGTTTTTCTTTTTTTATTTTTGAAATCTCCCTAGGTGTCAGAATCAAGGAATTCTGAGTTATGCTGGCTAGATAATAGTAGGCAATGACAAAAGGAAAAAGAGACCACTCCTGGATGTCTTCACAGGGGAAAAAAAAAACCAGATTACTAATTAAACAACATTAGGCTCAAATAATGGGTCTTCTCCTAGGTATCCCTTGTTCACCGAGTAAGCATAGAAAGTTACTTTTTGAATTCTAGATTGCTATTGCATATATTATCTGATTCAAATCTTTTGCTTTGAGAAATTATGAACCCCCAAACATGCAGAAATAAAAAAATCTCAACGTAAACTATGATACACAAAACTTCATAATACAAAAATGCAAACACATACACCAAAACTCTTCCCAGCCTAAAAAGTGGTTACAATGGTAGCACTAAAATTAGCTATAATAGGCAGGTGCTAAAAAGATACTGTGGTAAGAGTCAAGTCCTAAGAAAAACAATATTCTAAAGACCTAGCCTGGGAAGGAGATTTTATATTTTATAAGAACCATGTTATTTAAAGTAAAGGTCAATGCTGAATGCTAGTCTATTTATAATTGTATATAGAGAAACCATGTCTTCTATTACAGTGTTTAAGATGTGGGTGTGTACAGTCTCTATTTCATTGTACTAGGGGAAAAAAAGAATAGAAAGGCAGTAGCAGAGTAAGAATATAAAGATCTAGAGAAGACAAAGATATTTCTCTCATTTGAAAAAGAAATCATTATAGATGCACATAAGGAGACAAGTACAAGAATATTCACTGTGACAATGTAAGAGAAAAAAATTGGAAATAACACAATAGCTAATATAAAATGCTTACACAATGCAATGAAAGGGTTGAACTAGATCTATATACCAACTTGGATAAATCTCAAAAACAATGCTGAATTAAAAATAAAAGCAAGTGCAGAATGATACATTACTATTTATACAACATGTTTAAACATACAAAACACAACCATTATATCAGATATATTGGTAACGATATAAAAATTAAATGGAAGTAATCCCAGAAAACTCTTAATAGTGGTTGTGTCTGATAGAGGTTGCAAGAAAAGAAGGGAATGGAATAAGGATGATGTTTAAAAAGAACTTTAAAACTGGTGATTTTTTTCCTTAAAAAAAAAAAACGCTAACAATATAGTAACAAGTGTTGAATCTGGGTGATAGGAACATGGTTGTTTTGTTCTCTGTGCTTTTCAGTAACTTATAAGTTTCTCAAAATTATACAAAATACCAGATGTAACTTTTTTTCCCATTCCAAATAACCCACAAACAATTTATATAATACAGGCAACCCCTCTTAGGTTTCGTGGCAAGATTCACATGGACCCATCATCTTTTAAATTGTGTTTACTGACTTGAATTAGGGCTGTATATATGTGAACACAGTAAGCATTATGTTACCATGGGAACATTTACCTGTGTATTTTGGTTATTTCTTTAATACTTGTAATATGGTATTAATATTATGGAGGGAAAAACACTTAAAGTGTTTTTCAACTTTTTTATTTCATGGCATAACAAAGGAACTACTAAAATTCTGCAGGTGACAAAAATATATTTTTTGCTGATCTGACACAAAAATACCTATAATTTTGATTCATTCACACCAACTGGCCAGCGTTGTGTTTGCTGTTGCCATTTTTTTTTTATTTTGACAATCTAAGGGAAAAGAGGTCCATGCCCCTGACTAAATAGTAAGGTATTGCATGTTTTAAAAATTCTTGCAGCACATTGGATGAAAATTGCTGACATAAAAAATAACAACAAAACAATACTTTATAAGGCACTTTCTGGGAAACAGACTGAAATTCTATTCTGGTCATTTCACCTCAGCACATATTCAAGTTAGAAAAGAAAGAGCAGTAACTACAATGTTATTTACTGCAAGGTAACTACTGCTAATCATTTCAACAGATGAAACGAGAAATAGGAGAGGGGGGTGCCAAAACACCTGAAATTATCTTCTGAAGCGAGGAGTCCTTGTAGTACAGGCTTCCCCACTAGGTGATTGTTCTAGGAACCCATCTCTATCAGTGTACCAGCTGGTGGTGTTGTGAGAGGCTGCATTCGGCTTCAGTGAATTTTTTTTGAAGACTCTTTCAACATGTTTGTCCATTTCATGATGGGTGATTTACAAGTGCACCTGCCCACTCCTAGCTGAGTATTCAGCTAAGTTTTTGATTAAAAATGACATGACCCCTGTGTCCCACTCTCCCCATTCACCTAATCTCTCTTGGAGCAACTTTTTGTTTTCTGAGATGAAAAAAGTCCTCAAAGGGAAATGTTTCACTACTATGGAAAAGGTGAAACAAAAAAAAAAAAACAGAAGAAGGACTAAAAGGAATCAAAATCAATGAATTCAAAAACTGTTTTGAGCAGTGGAAAAAACTTCTTGATAGGTGTATTGCATCAAATGGAGAATACTTTGAATGTGACTTAAGTTTAAACATGTAAAAATAAATACACAACTTTTTATAAATAAATGAGGGCTTTTGGGGGCCCCTCCTCATATTTCAATATCATTCTATGAAGAGCAGAAGATTTAAAATGATGTTACCTTGACTAGTTCAGGCAGGTAGCTATCTAAACTGGAACCAGAACCTTCCAATTTGCTTTGTTCATCATCTAAAATGGCAAAACAGATCACCTGAGTCACTTATAGTTGAACAAATTTTTTTAAAAACAGGAAGAAGGTCAGTTCTCTTATGTGCCCTTGAACACATTGGATTTCAACTCTGAATGCTCTTTAGAAATACCTTGGAGCTTTAAAAAAATACTCTGATGCCCAGGCCCAATGGTGAGAATTCAACGTTTGATAGCTGGTACAGCATTGATACTGTCTGATTAGAACTGGCACTAGGCATGAACACCATCCCACAGGGCCACATCCATCAGATGTGCTAATAGTCAGGCCTCCCCAGAACAACTCAGTCAGAGTCTTCAGAATCTTTGGTGGGACAAGCAAAGAATATATGTATCTCCTCAGCCAACAACATTTATTCATTGCTTTTAGAGAGAGAGGAAGGGAGACAGGATAGGAAAGAGAGAATCATTGATGTGAGAGAAAAACACCGACTGGTTGCCTCCCATACACGCAAGGACCAGAGACCAAACTTGCTACCTTTTAGTTACAGGACAACACTTCAAACAACTGAGCCACGCAGGCCAGGGCAAGAAAAATATTTTTTTAAAGTTTCTAGGCATTTCTAAGAGACAGAATTGAGAATTCACCTGTCTAGAGAACTAAAATAATAAAATAAAATAAAAAAACCCAAACCCACACATGAATTATCAAGAAAATAGCCAGATTTTCCCACCAATTTCATCTGAGGCTTCTGCCCTCTACCTTTGCTTTGGACATTCCAAAGGATATGATTAATAACAACAGTAATAACTATAATTAGTATTTTAAGCATTGACTCTATGCTAGGTACTAGATATACATTATCATACTTAATCTTTCCATTGACCAGCACATTCCATTTTTTTAATTCCTGTTTTACAGGTGAGTAAACCAACACTCAGAAAATGTAAACATCCTACCTAAGTTCTCACAGCTGAAAGATAATGTTTATTGTTGGGATTCAATATCTCAGGTCTTCCTTTCTGTCTCCAAAGCTATGGTTCTTCCAATTACATGATTTCCATATAAAAATGATGTTAGGGTAATAAATCATAATGTGACAAAATCTTTTTTTGACAGGCTGTCTGTAAAAAGCTCACATCTGTCTCACCTCTCATGTACATATGCAATGTACATCTATTTTCTATACCCTCTGGCAAAAATAATGGACACCTGCAGAGTGTGGCTGCATGTAGGGAAAACTAGACCTACCTACCTTCATGAGAGTCTCCATTTCGCTTTTCTTGCATTGCAGCTTCAAAGTTGAGCTGGAGAATCTTGTTTAGAGTTGTGATCCATTCTTCCATTTCCACTTCACTGTCTGCTGCCAAAAGATAACTACTTTTGTCCTGCATTTTGAGCTCAAAAGCAAAACGCCTGACTTTGTTGTTCTGAAATGGAAAAGGGGTAACAAGACATATTTAAAAGAATTAGAATGGCCGTTAAAGTTTTTCTCTTTATTATTTGCTGATGGGTGCTATCACACTGGCATTTTGGAACAAGTCCCCTTCACATAAAACCCATCACTATCTACCTCCCCTGCTTTATTTTCTCCATAGCTTTGTTTTTCCAACTGACACACTACATATTGTATGTAGTCATCTTATTTGCTGTCCCCTCCAATGGAATGGAAGCTCCTCAGGGCAGAGATTTCTTTTATTCAATGCTACGTCCCCATTTGTAGAACACTGCCTGGCAAATAACAGGCTCTTGAAAAACACTTGAATGAATGAAATTTCATGAAAATTTTCATTTCCCCTAGCTCCTATTTTTTTAATGAACTAGTGTGTGGTATAACATTTTTAAAAGCAAATCATTATCTATCAATATGTTTGACTTCCTTCCTTCAAAATTTTTCATTTATGAGTCCCAAAATATATTAGGACACTGTGTCTACCTTCCCCTTCTCTCATGCCTGTGGTTTTTATGACTGGGGAAGGGTGTCGTCCATGTGCATTAAATGATGAAAGATGAACATGCCCTAGAGCAGGCTTTCTCAACCTCTGCACTACTGATGTTTGGGCTGATAATTTTGTTCTGAGGGGATATCCTGTGCAGTATAGGTGGTTTAGTAGCATCCCTGGCCTTATCCACTAGATACCAGTAGCATTCCCTCCACTTGTGAAGATCAAAGCATGTCTCTAGATATTACCAACTATCTCCTGGGGCTAAAATCACCCCCAGTGACTACATTAGATAGAAGTTAAGCTCAAAAGACCATGGTACAAGATTCTTTGTAGGTACAGGCTAAGGGACATAATATCACCAACTCCTGCCAACCTGCAGATGACAAAGCAGACCCCTTGTCCACTAAAATTCTAGCGGGTTAGCTGTCCCCATGAGGGCTCCTCAATGCAGGTCTCAAGGACAGGGCCACACTTCCAAAGGCATGCATCTCTGTGTACTTCTCAGAAACATGAAGGAATGTGCTGCTCCCGGCAAAGCCACAAAATCTACTGTATACAGACGACCTAGTGTGGGTGCCCTAATTGCAGCCTTGGACCTCACTTAAACTTCACTTTACATCAAGGAAAGAATCAAAGTTTAGAAGTGAAATGAGTTTTCTTTCCCCTACATTCCTCACATACTCACAATTATGAAAGTAAAAGTTAAAGGGGGGAAGGGAAAGAACATTAGGTCTCAATTCTGAATTATTCCTATTTCCTTTTTTACAAAATAAGTATAATCACTTCAATCTCCTAAAATACTTTTAGAGCTTAACATTCTAAACTGGATTCAAGTCAGATCTACTTTAAAATTTTAGTTTAGGTATTTCTTTGAACTCACAGTGTTAATCAACTAAATCTTTAGTAATGTCCAATAGCAATATATTTTTAAAAAATCCCAAAACACTTAAACCACAACTTTTGGATCTTAGCTTACAAATGGACATGGATAAAAACAAATAATTTTAAACTTTTGGTGCCTTAGATACAATTCATTAAATAAAAAATGCCATCAGCAATATCTGCAAAAAAAAAAAAAAGAAGAAGGATGAGGCATCCACTGACGTCAGAACCTTAGATTTTAAAATGTACTCCAGAGACTGAATAATAGACCACCCAGTCTATACTTATAAATTACCTATACCCTGTGTTGACGACTGACAAAAAAGACCTCTTACAAACAAAATAATCACGTCCTACTTTCCAAATGCTAGAAAATTCAACTAAAAGGTAACTTAAAAAGTGTCTCAACTTAAAAATATAAATCAAACTCCTATTTAGGAATCCCACACAAGAAGTTAGTTTGCCATCATTGACAATTCACTCTGGTAGTCCTTACTTCATACTGTGAATAAACATACTTTTCGATATAATTTGGTTTCTATAGCAGCAGCTTTCAAGTGAGGTTGGGTTACCATCTGGGGAGACATCTATGTGCCAATTAGCTGTTGATGCATAATAATTTTCAGTGAATGCTATGTGATGCTATACTCTTGATCCAGGACCCAAGTACACTGAATACACTTTTATGTATTCCACATACACCCCTTTTTTGGATCTGGTACAGTGGTTTTCTTTTAAATCAATTACCAATAATTAAGAACACTAAGATTTAACTACAATTTTCTATTTTTCCCCTTCCTGAAAAACCCAATGATCTGGCAACCCTAAGCTGGTATTTCCACCCAGCAGCATCAGTCCTCTTTAAATGGGACCACCTGTCCTCCAGTTTGTGACACTTCCAAGTATTCCCTATTTGCTTTACAACCAGGCTCCTTCTTTCACTTAATTACCTGTTTGGTCCCTGAAAACATCTAAGTTTGGATGGACCCCCAACTTCTACTGCTGGCCATGATGAAGTAGTAAAGTCTGGACTTAACTCTCCCATAATAACAACTAGAAAACTGGACAAACTAGATGAAACTGTTTTCAGATACTGGACAACAGGGAGGGCAGGCCTGGGATCCCTGATAGAAAGGAAATGAAGTGAGCCCTACTACCATCTTAGCTTTTTGCCTAGAGGCAATAACTGGATCATGGCATGGGGAGGGAAACCCAAACAGAGTCCTGCAGTGTCCCTGAGCTGAAGAGACTGGAGGTCAGGGAGGCCCAGGTGGCTAGAACATGCAGGACAGGTTTCAGAATGAGAACAGAGCTCTCAGCACAAAAGAGATCCAAACAGTAAAAATATAGTCTCACATTCATTACATGTATATTTTCTATTTATATGTTTTGCCTTAGTAAAAAGCTTACCAAAAAAAAACAACAACAAACAAAAGGCACAATAACCTAAATTTCAGTTGAATAGAGATAAAGAGAATATCACAAAGAATGAAGATAAGAATAACATCAGACTCCAAAACAACATGAGCACCTAGAAGACAATAAAATGCCTTCAAATTCTAAGGTAAATTTTATCTTGCATTTCTACATATAGCCAAACTACTAGTCAAGTATAAATGCAAAAATAAAGATATTTGCAGATATACTAACCCTCAAAAAATTAACATCTTACACATGATTTCTCAGGAAGCTACTGTAGGATATGCAAGAAAATAAAACAAGAAGATGACATAAGATCCTCAAAATAGGAATCCAACACAGGAAAGAAGGTAAAAAGGGAATTCTCAGGATGTGTGGCTGTGCAGAGGCTAAGAAAGCAATTGCATCTGATGCTTGAACATGGGTTTGAACTGCCCAACTTCACTTTTATATGGATTTTTTTCAATAAGTATTTTGGAAATTTTTTTGATATTTGTAACTACTTGAAAAAATTTGCAGATGAGCTGCATAGCCTAGAAACATTGAAAATTATGAAAAAGTTAGGTATGTCATAAATGAATAAAATCTATGCAGATAGCAGTCTATTTTATCATTTACTACCATAAAATATTCAGAAATCTATTATAAAAGTTAAAATTTATAAAAATTTATACACACAGTTAGAGACCAGACATGTCATCATTTGTAGGCGAGAATAAAAAAACAAACATATTTATGTGTAACATATAAAATATGTGCTCGACTGTTTTTATCAGTAAGGCTTCTGGTCAACAGCAGGCTATTAATAGTTAAATGTGGGGGCAGTCAAGATTTATACATGGATTTTCGACTCTGTAGGTGGATGGTGCTCCTAATCCCTGGGTTGTTCAAGGGTCAACTGTAGTCCAAATTAGAGCAGAAAGGAGAGTGACAGGAGCTAAAATCCTATCACCAGCACATAACGTTCACAACTGATGAATGAAGAGCACACACACTGCTTATCTAGGAATATGAAGACAAATCCCAGAAAAAATCATGAAAAGGGTTCAAAACCATCATTTCAGGAGAGTGGGGAGTGGGTGAAGTAGGAGTGATGCAGGCAAGAATATACTTTTAGTGTTACCCTTCTGCACTGTTTGTTTAAATCCAATGAACAATCTGATGAACATGTAATTTAATTTTAAGTGAACACGAATAACTAATAAACAAGTATACCTAAGGGTCAAACCAGAGAGCTGTGTGTCTAACATTAACCACACTGGCACAAAACAATCTTTCTTGAAGAATCAAGCTTCAGGCTGATGTCACTGACTAGCATAGAGTCATTTTAAGAGATTCTCTGATAATAGTAATTGTATCTATTGTGAGGAATTGTCAAGGAGACTGTTCATTAATCACACAGTGCTCTCTGTCTGAGTGTCCCCAAGAGAAAAAAATCCCTGATCTTTATTCTAATTAGACTGTATCTGTGTGCTATGTGACTGAATGTGTCTCCAAGCTAGAAAGCATAGAGCCCAGTTTGTTGCCCACCCAAAACTGGTATTAGGTCTTCATAACATATTACTTTTTCCGTACCTTAATTCCACTTTATCTCCTCCCTACCCTAACTCCTTGTTTATGTTTCTGCTTTCCAACACACTTTAGATCTTCCTGAAAAATGGCAGGGGAATGGGTGGATGCCTGGATGGACAGGCAACCTGTTTTCAAAGACAATTCTATAAAGGTATGGAAGGAGAACACCAAATTGGTAAAAGTAGCTCTTTGGGAAAGGGAGCAATTGGAGTCAACAGGGACTTCCACAATCTGTATTGTCTGATATTTATAATATGTATGTATTCATGTCTTATGTATTATAATCAAAAATAATTTTTAAGAATAACTCCACACCTGCAACAGCACTAGGATAAAAATACCTAATATTGGCTGAACATTTACCATGTGCCATCACTGTCATAAGCTGTTACATCTTAAGATTAATTAATTAATCCTCTCAGAAACCATATTTGGTACTATTACTATCCTTACTTAATGAATGAGGAAACTGAGGCTCAGAGAGGTTACACAGTTGGTAAGTGGTTGATTTGAAGTCAGTCTGGTTCTGAAACCCAATCTCTTGATCCATATACTATTCTGTCATTGGTAAAGTTATCAGTAAGATGTTAAGAACTGTTCTAAATATTTCCAAGTTAGCTTATCCAATCCTTTCATTTAGTCTATTTAGGAAACATTATCACTATCCAAATTTTGCAAATGAAAGAACTCCAGGTAATAGTCCATCCAAGGTCACACAGTTAAAAAGTGGCTAGTTAGGTTTTAAACACAAGAGCTCGTGCATAAGAGCACTTGTGCCCACTACAATTCATCTCCATCATTCCTTGACATCTTCCAAAATGATGAAAAACAAGCCTGTTTTAAAGTCAGTCACTATATTTCTACCACAAAATTGCCATTTTTGAAAGTTTATGATTAAATCAGATGGTACTTTACAAATAAGGAAACATGATAGCCTCTTTCGATATTTACCTGAACCACACCCATACAGGAATCCAAAAATATCGATCCTTTCGGTTCTTTAGAGATCTTTTCATCTTTATAAAAATTCAAATTGTAGGATCCATCACCAAGTTGAATTAGGTGGAAAAACCGTCTTTTAAATGACTGAGAGAAAAATACACACAAGCTCAAAATGAAAAGAGTTACAATTCAGTAAGTCACACAATTTGACACATGTGTAAAAACAAGTTTAGTTCTCTAAAACAAATCTAATTCTGGCCAATGCCCTATGTAACTGGGTGAGTTAAGACTCTCTTTCACATCTAATAATTTTACTGCATTTCAATTCTAATGAGGTAGTTCACTTAACGTCTATGAATATTTTTCTCACCCACAGATTTTAGGGTTTTACATAACTATCCAAAAGCAATGCAGTGAGCTCCAATTTGGGATGCAACTCAGAGGGATGGAAACTTTCCAAATCCCCAGTTTTCTGCTCACACAGAATAGAAACTATTCTCTGCCTCAAGACACTGAATGATTTTCCAGATTCAGGATTAAGATAGTAAGCTTTTTCCCTGATTTAATTTTTATCACCCTGTTTACCCTACCACTGTTTTTTCTTTTTATTATTATTCCTCTTTATTCTCTGGCTCAATATTTCTGCTGAGTAGATTTTACACTGGTTTTACTTTCCTCTTTGCCACCTTCTTCCAATGTAACCATTTTCCCTTTAGTCCTTAATTTTTACTTTGCTTGACTTTGTTGCCATAGACCTCTACAAAAGCGCTTAGTTTAGCCTCTCAGTGATGTTTTATGAGGTACCAGGTGTCATTTTCATAGTTAACACAGAGAAGAAAGCCTGTGTTAGCATTCATACTTTCATGCCAGCCCAATGATGATCTCTTCACACTGGTCATGAGAGGGTGGCAAGGGTAAGTGGGTGGAAGGGTCTCTACAAATTGACATCAGTCATATTAATCAAAGGGAAGCATCTTATTAACTAGACAATGTCACTTTTGTCAGGAAAAGCAGCACGCCCACTCATTTTAAGCATTATTCCTAAGACCTACAACAAGCAGGGTGACAGGTCTCCTTACCCTCATGGTCACGCTTATCGCACTGTTCATGTTGCCCTTGTACAGCCACCCATGCTTGGTGATTCCACCCTTCTGAGAGCCAAGGGAGGCAGCATCCTAGGAGAGAAGGAAAACATCTCAATCTCCCATTATTACCTATGTTATTTTATGTGAATCTGGTTAATGGGAAAATCATTCATTTGGTGTCAGGTTGACCCTTGCTCCTTTACATCTGACCCTAACACCTACAAGTCACTTTAGAGTCCACTTAACAGGGAAAGAGAAGGACAAGTCAAATTTCTGAAAACCCTAGTCCATTAAAAAGCAAAGCTAGTTCCGTTTTGTTTTTATTTTTAAGTGTTTAATGAGCCACAGAAAGTACATACCACACTTGACTACTCAAGTTGTAAGGTCTTGCCTGGTTTCATAAAAAATATTTTCAAATTACACTCCCCTATAGTTGAAGAACAAAAGCAAATTCCTGGAAAACTTCCCAGAAGCTTAGTTCAGGGAAAGGTGAATAAAGAAAGGAAGGAAGGAAATGTAAGGCAATAAAGAAAGGAGAGGTAACATGATGGGGCAACAGAAAAGAAGGAAAAGGAGGGAAGAATATAATAGAGAAGAAAAAGGGAGAGTTAGAAAATAAAAAGAAACAAGCTCTTTCAAGATTTTTTCCAAATATTTTAAATAATTTATTCTATTTTTCACAAACTAAATATTTTTAATTGTTATTCAAGTACAGTCTCCATTTTCCCACCACCACTCTCCCCCCACCCCACCCACCCTCACTCCTTCCCCCCTTTGGTTTTATTGGGTCTTTAACACATGTTCTTTGATGATCCTTCCCCTTCCTTCTCATTATTGCCCTCCTCCCTCCCCTCTAGTTACTGTCAGGTTGCTCTTTATCCTTCAAGGTCTAACCCCAAACTCTGAGATCTGGGCTTAAGGGAGTGGTGCTGCCAACTGTTGCCAAAAATATATGTATATATTTGCCCACCTAATAAACAGAGTGATGAAACATATACACACATGAATACACAATCTACAAGTCTTCTACCACACCCTTCCATGCTCCTGAAGAGTACTCCCTTGTGACTGCTTTCCCCCTTTAAGGCTGTGCCCAGTACATAGTTCCATAGGTACCCTGAGAAGAGAAGGCCACACAGCGTCAGGTGACCTAGCTCACACCTCCTAAAGCTAGTCTCTGATTACAATCCTTATTTTTGTAATCAAGCAGATAATGGCAAAAAGACTCATTTTATGCTTGATTTTAGACTATCTCAACATTACTACTGGTGGTTTTATTGTTGTTATTACTGGCAATAATAGAAATAACTTATCTGCCTGGGATTTTACAGTTTTATTTTGTGTGTCCTTACATGCATTATTTTAATTGGTCTTCCTCTTACTATTAATTAGCACCAAGTTTTTGATATTTTGTTTTTCATCTTGAATGACTACCTCCTCTTCCTAGAATCATTTTAAAAGTGGTTTCTAAAATAGTTTGCTACCAAGGACATTGTTAAAGTTCTTGAGTGGCTGGTATTATTGGCTTAGCTGACAATTAAAAAAAAGAAAAGAAAAACTGAACGCATGATGAAGTATCCAATAATGAGTAGAGGAGAAGGAGAAACGCAGAGATGGGTCCCACTAACATTTTATTAGGTTTCCCTTGCTCAGTGGACATAGTCACCTTCACGTCCTGCTCTTTTTGTACACTTCCCTAGCCATAATCATTTCTCCATCATAGCAGGGGTGGGGGGTTGTTTACTACACACTTCACTCAAAGCAATCCCTGAAAAAACAGCCATTTAAAATTTACTGGCTACTAGTTTGTTTTAAAACATCCTGTTAAAAAACAATATAAACTTAAGGTCTAACTAATAACAGTATAACCAAATCTCATCCAGGCCTTTGAAAATGATCTCAGAACAAATAAACAAGACCAGAAGAACATGCTATTCATGCTAAGTAGTTAAGTTGAAACAGAAACCTCATTTCAATCAATCAACCAACACATTTAAAAAAAAAATTCTTCCCCTGTTTCAAGAAACATTCTAATCCCTGTTTTGGCTAAATATTGGTAATTTTCTAATTATTTTCTAAGTCTATAAAATAAATCAATTTTTAAATCTGTGAGTGATCATCCTACCTCATCTTTGTCAACCTCCTCATCCACTTCGTAGACATGAACAGGAAGTTTATCCAACTTGGCCACTTTGCTTTAAAAAAAAAGAAAAAAAACTTGTTTTATAATTACCTAATCCATGAAGAGATGCTGCATTTCTTCTCCCATCAAGAGGAACCAGCATTTAACAAATCCAAAGCTGGCCCACTCATATAAAGAATAAAAACCACCAATGCTATTGTTTTTCATAGTGGAATTAAGATGGCATAGCTTGTTCAGAGTTATATAGATATTTCAAAATGGGAATGTTGTTAATAAATAAAGTCTTGATAGAATAACTTTTAATATGAAGTTTAAGAGAGAGTATAGAAAATGAGGTTACTGCATTTAAATGTATTAGGAACCATAATCTTAGATGATGGCACTCACGACAAAAAACATGACAGTAAGAGTAGCGGCTACCATTTATTAAATAGTTATTATGTAGGTAAGCACTGTGCTGTGTACTGCACATCTCCTCTAGTCCTTTAAAGGGTGGGGACTGGTGTTAAGATCATTTAATAGGTGAAACTGAGGCTTAGAGAGAGCAGAGCAAGTAGATGTCATAAGCAGACATGGAACAGAATCTATGTTCTTATTCACTATTACAATCTTCCCTCTCATTGTTACCATAATCAGAAAATCTTATTAATGCCAAAAAGTGAAATCTACCAGCAATAAAAGTATATCGTATAGTAAGTACGATACATCTCACATTCTATTCTCTTTTAGCCATGAGAATGGTACAAACAAGACTATCAAGTGATCTGATCAAATGGGAGGAATTTTAAAAGTCCCACATGAGTATTGGATAAATATAGAACTAAGAGGCATACCCATCTGGAGAAGATAATGCTGGAAGGGAGTATTCTTGGCTGAGGTTTAAAAAAGGCACTTGGGAAGTTGGCTAAACATTCTTAAGGAGTGGCTGAACCACAAAAATGGAAAAAGCAAATAGCTAGGTTCACTAAGAATAGTGTAAACAAATTAAGCCCATAGATGCGACAAACACAAAGGAAAATATATTAATAGGTTCTCAAGTAAAATTTTCATTGGCAATGTTACTTTTGAAACAATCCATCATTATTTGCTTTCAATTTTCATGATCAACTATACTTAAATTTGTTAACTCCATCATTTAAAGGTATACTCTTTTATATCCTCTCAAGGTGAGACATACCTATCTCTGGTTCACTTTAACCACCACTAATCAATCTAAACACACCTGCTTTTAGTGTATTCTAGAATGAGTTAATACTTTAAAGGAGGTAAAAAAGTTTGTCTGGGAAATGCTTGTTCTATGATATACTTTTTACATAAAATTTATTCAATAAAAATGAAACAAAAATTTTTATTTGCTCAGTACAAAATAAAAAATAAAACTTTTATGTTTCTTAAATATATTCTATTTAAGAGAAAGCACAATGTAGTATTTTCAATATCTTATATTTTTGTTGTTTTCTATTTCTCACTGAAAAAAATTTCACCTGTTTGTGTTTTGTCAGTGGTACCCTGAAAAGAATCACTGGACATAATTATTGCATGCCATCTGTGCCAAGCCCAGAGTACTGGGATTGGGTCCTATTATCAAATGCCCTGTAAACAATAGCTACCTCATATACACACAAACCATCTAGAAGTATTTCTCCAATTACTTTGATTGCATAGCAGTCACATACCTCCTTAAACATTTTCAGTACAAAGAATTTTCCCTATGTGTATAACACCACCTTGTGTGGTCTGACCATTGACTCACTTTGGAAGCTGTCGAAACTCTCCTGAGTAATCTTCATATTTATACTTCACAAGATGCCAGTCGGAGTTATAGGTTTTGATGCACTATTGGGTGGGATAAAAAAAATAGAAAGTTTATGAGAAAAATAAAAAAAAATGTGATGACTTTTAGAGAATGTTTAGGAAGGTTTATGAATGCACATCCATACAAACATCAAAAAAAAATTTCCCCTTAACCCTCTCATGCCTAAAATTACACCATTACCGTTTCCTCTGAAGCTTAAGAACCACTGAAACATTACCCCTGGGACAGGGGTCACTTTAGGTTACCATCATTCATGATTTGAGAATTATTTTCCTTTTTTGAATTGCATTTTTTCCATTACCATTTAGTCTCCTTAGTCTCCATTAGTTACCCTTCTGCCTTGCAATCACCACACTGTTGTCCATGTCATGGGTCCTTTTTCCTCAGTCTCTCCTCCCTCCCTCCCCACTTAGCTGTCATCTGAGAACAGATTTTATAGGAGACAAATTTCACCTCCTCTTGCTACATTTATATAACAACATACAGTTTCTGCCTTAAAAGCACTTGGTTCTTAAGAAGTAGTGGCCTCTACTAGAACATGAAAATGAACAGAAACTGTGAACCATGAGATACTTTCGTTGTATGTACTAATATTACAACTGTTAGTCAATATGATATAAATTTACCTTTGGTTTTTCCTTCTACTTATAAGGAACATAGTAAGGTTATTAGGAGGAAGGATTCCATTTTTTAGTGGCACAGTGACATCTTATGTGTATGTGTGTGTGTGGAATGCACAAATTATGGAGTATTCCATTGCCAAGGAGTCTATCTATGACAGTAACCTACAGAGAATGCATTAAACTACTTTCACATGACAGACTCATGGTGTCTTTCATTCATTTACCTAGGAGGATCCACCAAGTAGTACACAGAGGCTCAAGACTGTAAGGCCACATATGCCAAATCTTCAAATATGGATAAGTCAAAATTAAGAGGTGACATGTTTGATTTAGTTACCATCAGCTTAGTCCAAATAATTTTTCTGTGTAATCAGCTTTTAACTACACACATGCAGACCTCAGTATGGCACACAAAAAAATGAGTAAGTGAAAACATCGGTAGACAAATACACTTGTCTTACTTAGTTGACTTGACTCTAGCTGCTTGCTTCTCTTCATTAACTGCCAACCTTTTTATCTATTTCACAGCCTATGCCCAAACACGTTCTAAGGCAAACTCCCCTCCACCCCAAAGTCATAAAAATAACTACAGCAACAACAGCGGGTGCTTCTCTCGTGCCAGGCTCTATGCTAAGTACTTCATTGGCAAGGTTGTGAAGGAAGATAGTAGAAGTTTTTCCTATCATCAGTCAGACAGGTGTAACAAATAGCAGAGAAGGATCAAGAAAAGAGTAAGATCTGGGAGCTAAAAAACTTTCCAATTTCTTTGCTATGTATTTACAGATGTCTTTAAATACTATTCTTGTAAATGTTTTTTAAAGTTTTTCACAAGCCAGGCAGTGAAAGACAAATACCATATGATCTCACCTTTAACAGGAACCTAAACAACAAAACAAAGAAACAAGCAAAATATAACCAAAGACACTGAAATAGGGGACAGACTGACAGTGACCAGAGGGGAGAGAAGAGGGAATTTCAGGGGAGAATGGGAAGGGTTTACAGGAACAAATTTAAAGGACACATGGTCAAAAGCTAGGGGGAGGGTGGTAATGGGAGGGAAGTGGGGAGGGTTGGGTGGGTGGGCTGGAATGGGAGTAAAAGGGAGAAAACTGTACTTGAACAATGATTAAAATAAAATTTTTTTTAAAAAGTTTTTCAAGCATTTTCACATTTAAAACACCAGATATCTACACTCAAAATTACATTCCAAAATCAGTATGATTTCAGAATTTTCCTTAGGTTTGGAACAACTAAGTCAAGTCTGACTGTGAATGATACAGTCTTGTGGACATGCTGCTATTCTCCTTGTGAGGGAAGCCAAATCCAAGACAGAAGCAGCCCTCAGGGCCACAGTGGTTTTCATCATGCATGGCCACTAACATTGTGCCACCAAAGTCTCTTGCAGGTCATTACAATAATTTTGAAGTATAAATGTACCTGCCCAATTAAAAAATAAATAAGTGCAGACATAATCATGTGCATTTATGAGTGGAACATCTGAGTACCCAGATTTTTAATACCTTAGGCAAAATTAGTACAAAACATAATGTTTAAATATTTTAAATTACAGGGAACTGCAAACAAAACAAAACAAAACAAAACAAAACCCACAGTTAGCCAGGTTAAGTACACAGAGGTTCAGTCATTTAATAAGCCATTGTTGATTGCCCACATAGCAGGTATCTGCTAAATTCCAAGGTAGAAACAAAGAATAAGGCAAGCAACACCCATCTCTCTGGGGATGTAGAAAGTCTAGGAAACAATGGGTTCAATTAGAAATCAGTGCCCAGAGAACTGGTCTGTTACAACACCCTTCTGACTGATTTCATGACTGACCTTTCAAACTTGTGAAATTCAATAATATTTTGAAGTTATACTGAAAGGTTTTTGAAGTTGTTTTTTAAAAACCCATTAGATCAATCTCCTCTGGACTAGAGGATGGAGAGGAAGTGTTGTTTTACTCCACCCTACTGGAAGAGTACCAAGAGGGTTTAGTTATGTTGGCTCCAGCAGCATTGGATGAAGCCGCTATTGCTCAACCTGCAGCAATTAAAGAACTTACTGGAGAGTTACCCTTCAAAAATGGTATTTTTTAAGCAACCGAGAAATCTGAATTAGTAATTAATAATTTCGCTACATGCTTTAAGACAAAAGTCAACAGACTTTTCCTACAAATTGCCAGATAGTAAACATTTTCAGCTTTGAGGGACATACTATCTTTGTTGTAACCACTCAAATCTGATCTGTGATATAAAAGCAGTCATAGGCAATACAAACAATTGGGGGTGGCTGTGCTGCAATAAAGCTTTATTTACAAAAACAGGCTACAGACCAGATTTTGCCTGTAGGTCATAATTAGCCTACATCATGTTTTAAAATAAACATTTCAGAATATATAACATACTTAGCTGCTTGTCTAGAATTTTAGTAGTATAGTAGCAAAGGAAGTAATATAAGTTACCTTTTCAAACGGATGAGAGAACACACTTTAAAATATTTAAATACACATTTAATTTTTCAAAAACTTCCATGGAAACTAAATCTTGTTATTTTAATTGGTCTTCACTTATAAAAGCATAACTTCCTTATAGTGTGCAAATTTACCAATGGATATATTTATCATCTAGAAAACGGGGATAAAAATCCATTATTTTTAAATGAAGGAGCACTTCAAGAAACAAAATCAAAACCTAATTAATTCATCCTACCTAAAAGCAACTGGAGGAAGAAACACTCCAAGGTGGGGGAGAGGCAATCTAAATGCAGTAACTTTCCTTTCTTCCTCATAACAATCGTTTGTTTGTTCAAACAAAAGTAACAGTAATTAAACATTGATCAGAGATCATCAGGCGCAGCTCACTTTCACCTACCACGTCATAAATATTGAACTAGTCTTGAAAATAAGTTCCAAATAGAAACATGAAATTAAGTAAATAAATATAAATGTCTGTGCTGAGTTTCCATTAAAAAATATCAATAACAAACCCTCTGGCATTGCACCCAGTGAGTTCATTTACAAGTTGCCCTTTATTTTATAAATTCTGCAGAATCCATGTTTTGTCTTCTGCTGACATTTCTAAGATTCAGATTCTGAAAACTTCATTCTTCTCTGATTTTAAGTTCTATTATAAAAAATATAATTACCTCTCTGACACTTTCTTGACAACATCATTAAAATTTAAAGAAATGGAGGAGGCATTAGAAAAAAATGATTTAATATGACACAAGTTAATGTAGAAGAAACACATTACCTCTGTAACAAACAAGCTCTGTGCTTCCTCTTGTGCATTTGCAGGAACTGTGGAGCATCTGTATCGACCCTGTCGTCTCAGGATGGCTGTCTGTGAAGGAAAGCACCAGGCAAGGACTTTGTTAAGTGAAGAAAGAAAGGGGCCAGCCTCCAAGTGCAGTAGGGCCTGAAATGGACAGTCACTTCAGCCTCTACCAGCCAGTGAAACCTCCACCTTCCTCCTTAGCTCACATACAAGAGATCCCATTTGACACCCTAAAGTTCAAAAGTCATGCAGGGCAATGGCCCGGGCTTCTTCCAAATGACCTCTCCAGAGAGCCCTTCTGCTCTCCTCAGGCACAGTAAAGGTCTATGCAGAAAGTCCCTAACACCCAGGTTCTTGAGCTAGTCTCATTATACTGCGTTTTAATTTCCTTAACTGTCTATTTTTTAATTGTCATAAAATTTACAATTGTAACCATTTTTAAGTGTATAGTTCAGTGTCATTGCACATTTATACTGCTGTGCAACCATCACCACCATCCATCTCTTAATTGCCTTTTACGTCTGTTGTTTACTGCCACAACTTCAGTGCTGAAGAGCAAGGCAACCAAATAGAAGATCCTTAATCAATATTTGTTGATTGATTCCAGGAGTTGTGAATTCTACCTCCCCTATGAACCTTAGGACTATTCTTGTTTCATGAAGCTTAAATGCTTATTTAAATAATAAAATGCCTTATAACTTTAGGCAGAAGCACATCTACCCCAATTAACACTATTTGTAAGAGACAGTAATGTTGATGGAGAAAACTGGGTGTCAGGCTTCAGAAAGGAACGTTGTAGATTTTTTCTCCCATGGACTATAATCCTCGGAACTATTAACAGATCATAAAATAGCATACATGAAAACGTTTTGCTAACAGAATCTACCCTGTTGGCTCTTTGCGGCTAATTACTAAACTGGTAGCTCCTAGCACTTGTCCCAGCTGTTTCTCTTCTTCCTTTGGTTAGAAGAAGCTTTGGGTCAAATATGTGATCCCTGCCCCGTCCCCTGCCCCCACCTCCAGCACAGGTAGAGAATCCCAAGGCATATATTTTGTGCATAACGTAATTTTACTTCCTGCCCACATTTCTCTGTGTTGTGTCTGCTTCACCTATATTTATTCTTTTCTTGCACTGTATTCATCTTTGAAATTAATTTTATCTCTTATTTATAAAATAAGTCTCCCTTATTCTAAAGAAAGGAAAATAAGGAACTCTATTCTCCACCAAAGTCCTTCACAAGTGAATTATTAATTCATTCTGCCTCCAAGAGGGTTCTTAAGACCCTGGGTGTCTTGATTTCCTTGCAAATATCACAAACAAAGGGTGACTCCTATTACACACCTATTACCATGAAATATCATAGAGATATGTGACAATAAGCACTGCAGAGGCACAATCTATTCAAAAGGCTTCAAAGAAATATATCAATTACAAAAAGATTGTCAAAACTGTTAGGAATCAAGGATAATATTATTAAAGGGAAATTGCTTAAGAAATTGTATATGCTTCTTAATATCCCCACTTATTATGTCCTTATCGTGATTATTTGTGTCTATCAAGATTTTTAAAATTAATGACTATACTTTAAATATGTTAAGGAAATGGTTCAGGTTAAGAATTAGAACTACATGAGTTATTTCAGCCCACTTCCCATCATAAGACTAGGAGGAAATACAATGGATTACAAAATTTTCCCAGTGAATTACAACTCAAGAAAATTTAGTAATGTGACACTTTTCTAAACAAGGGACATTACTAAATTTTAGAAAACAAATAATAGAAAATGAATCTTTTTAATCTTATGGATCAAAGTGTAATTATGCTCTCACTTTCAAAAGAAAGCAAAAACCATTAGAGACTTGACCTTTACAAATAAAAGAGAACTAAACACAATTAAACCAATCACCCCTATGTTTATTACCACCCACCAATACCAGAATACTAGGTTTGACTCCATTTCTGATCAAGTCCTAACTATGATTTTTATAAAGCTTAGTTTACTGAGCCCCTTTATTTCTCCAGAGACTTCATCCAAATAAACTTAGCACATTTCTTCAAAACCAGGCACTTAAATTCAATATGCCCCTTTATTATGCATCTAGCTTAAATGTTATTTTTATGTATATTTTTGTTCATTATCTGTGGTATTTAGATCATCCCTTTTAGATGCTTACTGTCCTTCACTATATGTACATGCTATTCCTCACATCAAAAGGTGAAGTCTATTTCCCCTCCCTTTTAATCTGGATGGCCTTCCACTGATAAAATGAGGTAGACATGATGTCATGCCAGTTCCAAGCCTAGACTTTAGGAGAACTAGCAGCTTCTGATTCTTCCTTTTTGGAAGACAACCAGCACATTAAAAGATCTACTACCTTGAGACTACCATGTTGTAAAAAAGTCCAAGCTACTCATATGGAGAAGTCATATATAGAAAGATGCCCCCCAGCCTCTAACTGGTAGCAGCCATCCTAGTTTAAGTACCTCAATGTAAGTAAGGAAGTCATCGTAAACATCCCAGCCTCTTTAGACACTAAATAAAGTAGAACTACCCAGGTTAGCCTCAACCACATTTCACAATTGTGAGAAACAATAAATTATCAGCTTTGGGGTGATTTGTTATACTAAAATAGATAACAGTAACAAGACTAAAACAAGACTGTAAGAGAATAGGAACATCTCCTAACTGAAGGATTGCAGAATACTGCCATTTTCATGACAATGTCACACAGTATAGCATTAGGAGAGAAGCATTGAGGGGATACACTAAATTGCAATCTAGTTTCTACACTCCTCTTCTATTCAGTGTCCTAAGAGTGGTAAAGTAAGAAAAAGTTTCTGTTAGACCTTCAAAATAACTTTAGTGGCTTCTCTTCCCAAAGAATAGTCTACTGATCACTTAAGGGTTCAGCATAAATATCACTCCATCCATCCAGCCCCCCACTCCAACCTTCAACCCTCTGTTCTTCTACTGAGTCCCTACTTACTACCAACAGATGCTGAACTAGCATTGGAGACAACATGGTAAATAAAATGTAGAGGACTTCTGGCCAAGATGGAGGTGTGAGTAGATACTCTCCCTCCTCACACAACCAAAAGAAGGACAACAAAAAATTTAAAAACAAAAAACAACCAGAGCTGCCAGAAAATAGAACTGTATGAAAGTCCGACAACCAAGGAGTAAAAGAAAAACATTCATTCAGACTGGTAGAAGGGGCAGAGATGGGCAGCTGGGGTAGAGAGGATGAGTGGCAAGGCAGCGGGCTGGAGGGCTAGGTGGGAAGGCAGAGGCTGGTGGCCCCACACTTGTGTGCAGATAAACCAGGAGGAACAAGTGGGAAGCAAGATAGAGTTTGAAACCAGGGTTACAGCGTGCAGAAATAAAGCCTTAAAACCTCTGACCAAAAAAAACTGTGGGGGTTGCAGCAGCGGGAGAAAATTCCAGCCTCACATGAGAGTTCATTGGAGAGACCCACAGGGTCCTAAAATGTACACAAACACACCCACCCTGGAATTAGCACCAGAAGGGCCATATCTGCTTGTGGGTAGCTGGGGAAGTTACTGAAAGCCCACCAAGCACCGAACAAGTGGCACTGTTCCCTCTCAGACCCTTCCCCAACATACGGCACCACAATTCGAAGTATGTTGCCCCACCATGGCAAATACCTATGGTTCTATCCCTTAAAACATAACAGGTGTGCTGAGACAAAGAAATATGGCCCAAATTAAAGAATAAATCAAAACTCCAGATGAAGAACTAAGTGATGAGGAGAGAGACAACCTATTAGATGCAATGTTCAAAGCACTGATAATCAGTATGCACACAGTGATGGTTGATAATGTAGCAAAATAGAGGAAAAAGTGAAGGCTATGCAAAGTGAAATGAAGGAAAATATACAGGGAACCAACAGTGAAGGGAAGGCAACCAGGATTCAAATTAACAATTTGGAGCAGAAGGAAAAAAATAAACATTCAATCAGAACAGAATGAAGAAACAAGAATTCAAAACAATGAGGAGAGGCTTAGGAACCTCCAGGACAACATTAAACATTCCAACATCCGGATCATAGGAGTACCAGAAGAAGAGGAAGAACAAGAAATTGAAAACTTATTTGAAAAAACAGTAAAGAACTTCCCCAATCAGGCAAAGGGAATAGACTTCCAGGAAGTCCAGGAAGCTCAGAGAGTCCTAAAGAAGTTGGACCCACTTTGGACCCAGGGAAGTGCACACCAAGGAACATCATAATTAAGTTACCCAAGATTGAATATGACAGAATCTTAACAGCTACCTACTAGGTAGCTGTAGACAGTTACCTACAAAGGAGTTCCCCTAAGACTGTCATTTGATTTCTCAAAAGAAACCTTACAGGCATATAAGGGGCTGGATACAAGTATTCCAAAGCATGAAAGGCAAGGACCTACATCCAAAATGATTCTATCCAGCAAAGTTATCATTTAGAATGGAAGGGCAGATAGAGTGCTTCCCAGAGAAGGTCAAGTTAAAGGAGTTCATCATCACCACACCCTTATCATATGTAATGTTAAAGGGACTTATCTAAGATAAAGAAGATGATCAAAACTAGGAGCAGCAAAATAACAACAAACTCATAACTATCAACAACTGAACCTAAAAAACAAAAAACTAAGCAAACAGCTAAAACAGGAACAGAATCACAGAAATGGAGATCACATGGAGGTTTGGAAGTGGGGAGAGGAGAATGTGGGGGAAAGGTACAGGGAATAAGAAGCATAAATGGTAGGTACAAAATAGACAGGGAGAGGTTACGAATAGTATAGTAAATAGAGAAGCCAAAGTACTTATATATATGACCCACAGACATGAACTGAGGGGAGGAATGCTGGGGGGGTGAGGGCAGTGCAGGGCAGAGGGGCATAAAAGGGAGAAAAAACATGGCACAACTGTAAAAGCATAATCAATAAAATATACTTTTAAAAAACAAAATGTAGAGTTTACCATCTGATGACAGGAAGGTGAGGAAATAATTTGTTAGAGTGTGATGATTACTACAGTAGGATATAAGAGAATAAAATACACACAGGCTGG